CAACCCCTTTCCCCCAAGCACGGCTACGTCCGTCTGATATCCGACACCTGTTCTTTTCTGCCTCACATGATCGCCGGCGGAGGGGGTAGAAAGGTGCAGTGCAGAAGGGTGAGAGGAACGGCGGACTTGAGTGCCAATATCCAAAAGAGTCAAGAGCCAACAAAACTACCCTGCATGACTGGGAAGTCATGGTACCGGGTGTCCGTAAGAATTCGCGGCAGCTCGATGGGTTGCCTACGCACTAGCGTGCGGGTGCGGGCGCGCAGGGCGAGGGGGGAGCGGTGGAGGTGCGCACCATCCAGCGAATTCCGAACAGACTATAAAGGCGCCCTTTCGGACCAAGTTATTTTTGAAAAAATGTGAAAAAGAGGGAGTATTTATTGAGACACAGACTTCGGCGAAACGCAAATCTCTGCATGTCTACCAACTAGGCCCGTGGATCTGCCCAGAGCAGACGATAAAGGGAATGACCCGATACACACTCTCTCCGTGCTGCCAACTTCTGCATACCCAGTGTTCCCAGGCAACACACATTCGCATACATGAAAGAGAGTGATCGCCTTTTAATCAAAAAGTGCACCAAAAGTCGATTCTTTTCGCGAATGTTTAGAACCATCAAAAGGTGGGTTTGAAAATGCACCAATTCGGCACCTGATCGGGCGAAACTGTGTCAGCTGGTCAGCTGACGGTGGTGTCACTTTGGTGTTCTGAAGCTGAAGTTATCGAGATCGAGTTTCGCCTCCCACCCAATATGGCGTCCCGCGCTCGGTTTCGTCGAAAAAAAAAAACTATTGTTGCACCTTCGCGAACGGTGTTTTTCATTAATAATACTTTAAAAATCGTTCAAAAGAGAAATATTTACCTTTGCGACAAGTGAAAACTCGTGTGTCAGTGCTCTAGTGTGGTCGGTGCTCAAGATCCGTTGGACCTAACCTCGAAGGTGCGGCGATGGCCGAGTTTGCAGATCTCAAGGTACTGTTCTACGCATCTTTTGGGTTCCTGGGGAACCTCAACGTCATCTGTCTGGCTATTGTTAGCGCCCGACTTGTGCGATCTTGTTCTTTTCCAAATTCCTCGCAAATCTGTTGAGTTTGATCCCGACCTACCCCTCTCGACGGCCACCTGACTGTTTGAATGGTGTCTGTCCTTTCATAATGGGTCTTTCAGTACGATTTAGACTGCTATTGCACCGACTTCATGCTCAGCCAACTGCTGCTGATGCGTGATTATAATGTCCAGCTGGTGAATCATGACGAGGTTTACGTGAACACCTTCGGCAACGAAACAGTTCAACTATCTTTAATGTCAAACAGAATTAGAGGTGTGAGCATATAAGACATTCTTGGTGGCACTGCGTCATAGGTGGCTAAAGTGTCGGCTCTGGGCCGGGGTTCGCGCCCTGGTGCCTGCCACCTTGCTATGGTAGCGGGGTGGATAATAAGACCTAGAAACTGGCTGAAAAGGGCTCCATAACCTATGGTGGGTCAGTGCGATTAACCAATGTACGCTTCAACCGTCTCACAAACCCCGGGAGTATGTTCTGACCACTGCGGTTGGGA